CAACTCTAATAATTTATAGGAAAATTCCGCTGTACTGGTTAATCAAACTTCTTCCTCGTGTCGGTATTAAAAGCGACTGCAACAGTACTCACAAAGCTTTGTTAGTTGGATAAAACCACAATTTTGCTGGTCCCAGAGGGCCACACTATATATAAAACGATGTCTAGGTTTTAAACATGTTTACATGCACTTTATGTTTAACCCGTTAACCATGGTAAAGGACCTGTGCTCTTCTCCGGTTGCCAAATTTCCTAGGGGGGGGGGGGGGGGCTAGGATTTTTCATGGGGGCGTCGCCCTCAATCTTTGTTCATAATTTCACAAATTAAAAAAAGACACATCTGCAGGTAACTATATACACAATTTTAAAAGTCTATCCAAATGTTTATGCAGAAAGCAAACACACGACAAACCAACTTATTGAACTAAACATCCCATTATCACTCTGTTCATCGTTTTGACAAAAACATGTCAATCCAGATATAAAGAAAATGGAACCATGACCAAGCCAATTGAGCCCCGCTTGCCTTCTGGATATCAACTGGTAGACATTATGTACATGATGTATGTTTTCCGCCTAATCCTCGGCGGTATGTGCATTTTGGGCAAAGAGTTGATCCATTTCTTATAGTCACGTGGAGGGAGTCAGGCGTTTGAATATATCAGACATTGTACATACACTTACTTTCACGCACGTTTTCTATTAGTAATACTACAAAGCAATATCATTGTGAAAGGAGCAAAGTCAAATATCATCAAATTGTTCAAATTCCGAGTACTTTCTCTTGATTTACATTAAAGGGTAACAAAAAAAGCGTCATATATGTTATTCTGATATCGAGGATATTTAATTCTATTTACATCAATTGAAAGTAATGCTTGCATAATCATTATACAATGATAACTCATGTTTCGAGTCTTGGTTGTGATAGCCTTTGATGTTCAGCATGGACGTGTTTATTATATTTTTATCTAACAAACTATTTTAAACTCCATTTATTTTTGCCTTAAAAAGGCTTTAAACAATTATTCGATTAAAGATATAACTTGTCTATGACTACTGTTGGTATCAAAACAGGTGGCCTATACGCACAACTTTGAAAGAAACAGAAATCGCTGCCAATTTCCGAAGAATGAAACTGAAGACAACTAGAATGGAAAAAAAATAACATTGAAATACTTCGAAAAAAGAATAATTTTAATCGAAACTCGATTAAGGACTCCAACTTTTCGTTTGATCAAATTTCTATTTAAATCATTTCCCCTTAATATCAGTGGGATGGAGTTAATTTTCACACGCACGGGGTGAATGTTTTCTCTCTGGGAAAAAAGGAAAAAATTTGGTAATGGTTGTCTAGATATATTTTGCATGACACATTTACTTGATTTCAACCAATTCGTGCTCTGTGCTGGATCTCACCTCATGGAGAGTCTTCTCATCACCCTTGCTTCTCTTCACTGCGTCTTGGTAGCAGACGTGCTGCGACTTAAGATCCATGTAGACTCTGTTCTTGTTGTTTCCTGGCTGTAAGTCCATGTAGGGGTCAGTCTTAGGCACGTGGACTTCCTTGTCCTTCTTAGAGAGGTTAATAAGACGTTTCCGTCTCAGTAAAGCGATGTTGATGATGACAGAGACAATGAACAAGATGAGAAAGGTTGCAGAGATGGCGATCCATGGAGTGTTTGAAGCTTGCTGACGGGGCATTGCTGGGACTGAAGATTTCAATGGATCGGGTGTGGTTGCAGAGGAAGGTATCCGTAGCGGACAGAGAGGACAAAGATGACAGAAGGACTGATCAGTCCGCCGGTGAGATTGAGGAAGCCAGTCAGCTAGTGGATTGGTTGTTGCGGCTGGTAACACAGTGATCGGTCCGATGGTGCAGAAACTTTCTTTATCCAGGAAAGCTTTGGATGTAATCCGACATCTGACAGTATTACCATTATCGTTTGCGCCTACAGTCACTTCAGTAGATTGTTTCTGATCATCGTTGGTGCTCGAGTTTGCCCAATTGTAGAAAACACCGCAAGTTAAGGTCGACAGATGGACTTTAGGGATTCCTATCTCTGTGGTGCAGCTCATTGTTAGAGTGTCACCTTCACGTACAATAAACGGTCCATCTGGCACGCAAATAGGATACATCGGAGTTGGGAAGTAAAGCACCGACAAATCGTAAGAGTCAGTCACTGTAGATGAAGAATCGCTCATTGCCCGACAAATGTACCTGCCCGTGTTCTGCCTGGTAACGTTATACATGTATAGACGAACATTCCTGTATATGTCGGAATACACTCTCTCTGAGGCTCTATATCCATCGGTAAGACTCGTTCCATTTCTCGATAAAATTTCCTCAGAATTCGAGACAAGCCTTACCAATTCAATGACTGCACCGGGCAGCATGTAATAGGCATTGCAAGTAAGTTGCACGTCATCCCCACAAAGGGATGATCATCCCTCTCACAATGATCGTACGATGCTGAATCTTTACTGATAGACACCCATCGCCGACCGTTGACGATGTGTCGACTGATGTGCAACCACAGCACCAGTAAACACAGTAACCAATAACCTCGATTCATGCTGGCCAAGTAATCGTTGAGCTGATAATTTGCAGAATTTCTAAATAACTCAACTACAAATGGAACATCACTGTAGGGAAGATGTATGTATTACTCCCTATTATAGACCTTTCTTTTGCTTGCAACCATTGGCGCCATTTTATACGGGCTGCCAGAAGCACATAAATTGAGGCTATGGTTGGCAACATATTTTTCCAAAAAAAGTCCCCATAACGCCCTTTATACAAAATAAAAGGCCATGTTTAGAAATAATGTTGTAGCTTTGTTGACATTTATGACAATGTTGTATTACCAACAATCAAATAATATTTTGGTTATTGGTAATAAATCTTCTTCATTTTTGCAGTGTTGGACCTTCCATAGTTTTCAACCCGTGGTTGGCAAAAATGCAGTTTGCCAACCAAGCGTAGAAAGGTCAATAATACGTAAAGCTTCCGGGTTCAATGATACGGAGCCCCTAAAGGGACAGGCATGATAACGTTTTTTTTTATTTCGTTCCCTCGAAATATTATTTCGTTCCCTCAAAATATTATTTCATTCCCTCGAAATACATATCGTTCCCTCGAAATAATATTTCGTTCTCTCGAAATATTATTTCGTTCCCTCGAAATATTTTATTTCGTTCCCCTCGAAATAGTATTTCGTTCCCTCGAAATAATTATTTCGATCCCTCGAAGTAATCGCACGGAAGCTCAAAGTGACCATCCACATTTCAGGCGCGTATCGAAATGTTTGTTTGTCCGTTGTGAATGTCTTGCTTTGCCATTTAAAATGAACTAATATAATGAGCGTCACAAAGGATTCCCAAAATTACCAAATGATGAATACTGATTTTGTAATTGAACATCAATGGATTGAAAACCGTTTTGCATCGGACAAACAGACGTTTCACTATTTAGTGGAGCGGCATAGGGACAGAATTGTGCATACGGGAAATGGGTCATTTGGGAGACATTCCTATAGACTTGTGCCCAAAATGTTTCAAACTTCAATGTGCCCTAACCCAATATTTCCTTGTTTTTTTCCCACGAATTTCGGTATGTTCACTAATTAGACCACGAGCAAGAAATATAATCTAATTGCGACGCTAAAATTTTGCCTCTAAAGGGGGGCTGTGACATTAAGGAGACATGTCTCCCTAATGACCGATGTCTCGCATCGTGTGAAGAAATTACGATAAAATATTAATAATGATAATAATAATGAATTATAGCGCTTTACATGAAATCTCAAAACGCTTTACAAAATACCAAAACCACATAAAAAGTAAACCAGTTAATTAAAAAAAGTGGAATAGGTTTTGAAAAATAACATTATTGAAAAAATGTACACTTTAATTTGTAAAACAAATTCAATTTGGCGCTTATTTTGAGAACGAGGTATATCCTGCGTTTATTTTCGCAATAAATAGCATTCAAATAAATTAATGTGCATACAGTTTCATTTAAAAAATTACAAATACGTGATTAGACTTTCTAGGCCAACAGCTGAAACTCAAAAACCGGCTGTAAAACGAGTTTCGTTCCAGCAACACTGGGTCTACTTTTTTAATGCACATATGTGGGGTTCAGTACATCACAAACACCATGTCAAAAGTTCTCCAGTAAATCTGCTGCAGTTTTTTTTTTACACTTCATCAAAGTTTGCCAATGTTATGTACATGTATGTATGCTAAAAACCCACATTTTTCGGTTTGAGGCCGTGGGTTGGCAGTTCCGATTTCAAAACTACAGCACTATAGCGTGTCACATCCTACACTCTAGAAACTGCTGGGTCAGACTGACGTGCTATCTGAATCCAAATCTGCTTAGTCCTTTTCTGGGTCAACAATTTACCCCTTTTGGAGTCATAAATGACCCCTTTGGAGTAAAAAAAGACATTTTTCTCAGTCATTTTGACCGAAATGTGTATTTTTTTGACCCAGAAAAGGACTGAGCAAATTTTGATTCAAATTCTGGGTCAATCTGACCAAGGAGATTTTTAGAATTAAAGAATATGTTTTATGTATATTGGCAATTGGGTAACACAGCACATGACCCTTTGTTTTCGCATCTCGTAGACATTACCACAGTCCGTCTCCCAAAAATATTTCACTGTAATCTAACTCGTTATTTGGCAGCATACAACAATGCAATTATTTTGAACGTTTATAATGCAGTGGTGGAACCAGCTCATCATTAATGAAAGTGAGGGGGTGCCCAAAATGGAGGTGTCTTTAGAGTAAATGAATACCTGTACATGTAACCAGCAGGAGAAACAAGAAAGCAGACAAGACATGCCCCTTCAAACAAAGCAAACTAACATGTCAAAAAAAGAGTGCTATGCCCCAAACCCTCTGGATCTGCTGTGGTGAACCAGGAACCTTCTACTTGTAAGAAACACCACCTTTTTTTGTAATGAAACAGGCTTTAAATACAATTATAAATCAAAGGACCATCAGAAGTCAGTCTGGTTTAATAATTTCAGAAATCAACCATTGTACATGTATTTGCTATCTGATCAAAACAGCCCTGGCCATCTTGGTTTAGAGAAAAGCCTTAAGATCAGTCTTTTGTTAAAGAAAATTTCAGCTATTTATTTATTGATACATTGATTAGCACCGAAAAATGTTTACATGTATATCAATAAAATGAAAACAAAACATTACCTCATGCTATTTTGTATGCTTACACATTAAAGAGAGTGATTTGGATCGTCATATGTGGCTAGTCTCACTGTTAATATTCACAGAATTTGCTTTTCTACTGGTACTAACTTTTAATAAATGAAAAAAATTAAAATAAATAAAACCAACACTAATGAACAGAAGGATACATGTAGTTTTGAAATCTAGAAGTTACTCATTATTTTCATTCAAATTTCAAATGCTAACTAGTCGTGCTGATACAACTTCAAATAAATGTTATCACTTCATCAAACTTCTCATCAACAACAGGATGGAGCGTATGTCTTGCTTTCTAAGCCAAAGTTTCAGTTTTGAATCCTCCTCTGAAGTCCCCAGAGATTCAACCACACCTCCAGCAGATAAAGTAGCAGTGTAGATGATGTCGCATAATATTCAAGGAAAGACAGCTGTGGATATTCTCTTCTAAGCCGATTTGTCAACTTATCAGTTCTGTAAAAAAAAAAATAGTAACATATAGACAGGTTAGTATCTGATGATGAAAAACAAGGATTACTATGGACGTGCTCCAGAAGAAAACAACTTGTTCAATCTAGAGTTAAATTACCAGAAAGATCATGTGCCCGATCGTTTTGCCTTCCACTGTAAATATGTAAACATTGGTAGCTATTGAGAATAAACCTTTTCAGCTTCCAAAGCAGTGGCGTAGCCAGGGGGGGGGGGGGGCAACTGCCCCCCCATGAAACCTTGTCGCCCCCCCAGTCGCCCCCCCCCCACTGAGATTTTGAGTTTCTAAAAAACTTATCATTGATCTACATGACGCTCCCCCATGAAATGTTCCAGCCCCCCAGCAACCCCCCCCCCCCCAACTGAAAAATTCCTGGCTTCTTGATATTCCAAAGCAATATCAAGAAGCTTTCATTTTGAATATTCTATTAAAGTTTATTTTTGTTAGCACTCTGAATATAAAAATCAAAACATCTTACCGGTATAAAGATCCAAGGACAGTTCCTTCGGCTTCTAAATCATTTTCATGATTCCAACAGTTCAGCAAGCTGGGAAATTCTCATGAAACTTAGTTGTTGATTGGGGTTGAACAGTCAGTCGCAGAACATCTCCCTTTTCCTGACGTTCATCCTTTATATATATAGAATGAAATAGTAAATTCTATAAAAAGCTACTTTGCTATTTTATACAAACGGAAAGACTACCCTCATACATCCTCCAAAAAAGTATCCTCCTTCAACAATGGAGAAAGAGACTGCACAACATTTCATTATGGGATTTTGTGCAGTACCCGTTGTACTTTGGCAGCTTAATGTTAGACATTTATTTTCAGTGCCAGAGGTACTCGGTTTGAATCATGGAATTAAAATAAGATCTACTTGTCATTGAATACATTTTCCTTCATTGACTCTAGAGAATTTCCTTAAAAACAAAGTAAAGTCCAAGAACCATTCGGTAGACAAGTGACATACCCCACAGTTGACTGCCGTAGAGAAAAAAGGTGTTTTTTTATTACCAGGTATCTATTATCATTTTAAATGGTATCGTTTGCAAGAAAATGAAATTTTCTTACGCATTTTCAGTTGACGCCATCCAAATCAATGGGGTTCTGTGCATTCACGGTGCATCGTGGTGACCACCGGCTTTGCTTTCGCGTTGCGTTTTCATCGTTTTTATCGTTGTGTCACCCCCCGGTTTCCCTCAAAGAAATTAAAACCTTACCCTTAATTCAAGGCATCCCACTATGTCGTTGGCGAGTCCAATTTAACCCAAACATGGATTTTTTGTTCTCTTTTGGGGCACAATACACAATTGCCTTCATTATAATGACATGTAGGCCTACCTCCAACAGAAGTTCTGCTTGTTGTAGCAGCTTGTCCTTGAATTGAAGTTTTCATCGAAATCGAAATCCTGGTTGAGTTTGTGTGCAGCATGACACAGTTCATGTGGATAGGCAATTAAAAGAAACTTGAACTTTGCCCGGAGCTTTTTAGGTGAAGAAATCTGGGTCTCAGCTGAAGTGTCTGGTTTGCGTTTTCTTGCAGCATTGAGACGTTTACTATTTATAAAAACCGCCACGGGTGAGGCCGGCCGGCCGGACTGCCTTGTTTACATGCGCCGGTAGTGTACTGTCATGACTGTACATAGCAGATCCACTGCCCACACATCGTGGGTATATTCGGCGATGCCACTGTGAAATTCAGCCACTCTTTGGCACAGGAAATGAACTTACTATCACCGGACATCAGATCCTTCGTATTTCTCCCCTCAAACGTGACAGATTACGTGTGCAAACACTTTTTTGCACCGGTCGATGTTTACGTTGACGCACCGTCGGCAATGGACGCCGCCATGTTTGTTAAGTGTCATGACCTGCGACCTCATATCTGGTGTCTAATTTGACAGTTCACATCACGTGGTACGATGCGTCATACGCGACGGATTTTTTCAACGGAGGCGCGGTACGTTTTTGAACGTCCACAATGGACAAATCGCTTTTTTCCGAGTCAAATTATCAAAAAGCTGCAGGACGAAATGTGGAGAACTTCTGTAATATCATTCTTTGGTAATATCATTCTTTGGTAGTTTAAAAAATCTAGACCCGCGATTGCTTGAGCGATCGAAACGAACGAATTTTAGTTCAGTCGGAAAGGGGGTATATCGTGCACCCTCGGAAATCAATTTCTAATTGTCTCTAGGTCAGAAAAAAATGCGTAAAAAACGATTTGCTATGTTAAAAAACTCGAAAAATGTCCAACGTATTGTTTTTATGCAAATTAGTGCCGCCATTACCGAAAAATCTATTTTTAACTATATCTCAGCCAATATTGCAGATAACTAGCTGAACGAACTAGGTGTCTAAACCCATGTTTTCAAGGTCAGAGATCATAATAAAACTATTCTGGAAATGACCACATGTGTCTGTGGCATAGGAATATGCAAATTAGTGCCGCTAATACCGGACAATCATGTTTTTGGCATATCTCAGCCAATATATCACATAACTACACCAGTAAGGTGTCTAAACCCATGTTTTGAGGGTCAAGTATCATTAGAAGACCATGCATTCACGAAGTAATTATGTGTGTCCTTGGCAGGTAAATATGTAAATTATAAAGTGTCGGTTTATCAGATATTTGATTTTTAGCCAATATCTCGGCCAATATTGCACATAACTACACAAGTAAGGTGTCTAAACCCATGTTTTGAGGGTCAGGTATCATTAGAATACCATTCACGAAGTAACTTTGTGTGTCCTTGGCAGGTAAATGTAAATTCTAAAGTGCCGATTTATCAGAAATTTGATTTTTAGCCAATATCTCAGCCAATATTGCAGCTAATGTTGACAGAAAGGTTTTTGATAAGCTTTAATGATCAAAGTTGATTTTAAGCCATCATATTCAAAATAAACTGTAATATTGGCTGAAATTGAATATGATATTGGCTGAAAATCAAATTTTTGATAAACCGGCAGTTTAGAGTTTACATATTTTCATGCCAAAGACACACATAGTTACTTTGTGAATGGTCTTCTAATGATACCTGACCCTCAAAACATGGGTTTAGACACCTTACTTGTGTAGTTAAGTGCAATATTGGCCGAGATATTGGCTTAAACTCAAACATCTGATAAACCGACACTTTATAGTTTACATATTTTCATGCCAAAGACACACATAGTTACTTCGTGAATGGTCTTCTAATGATACTTGACCCTCAAAACATGGGTTTAGACACCTTACTGGTGTAGTAATGAGCTATATTGGCCGAGATATGCCAAAAACATATGATTGTCCGGTATTAGCGGCACTAATTTGCATATTCCTATGCCACAGACACATGTGGTCACTTCCAGAATAGTTTTATTGTGATCTCTGACCTTGAAAACATGGGTTTAGACACCTAGTTCGTTCAGTTATCTGCAAAATTGGCTGAGATATAGTTACAAATAGATTTTTCGGTAATGGGCGCACTAATTTGCATAAAAACAATACGTGGGACATTTTTTGAATTTTTTAACATAGCAAATCGTTTTCTACGCATTTTTTCTGACCTAGAGACGTTGATTAGAAATTGATTTCCGAGGGTGCACGATACCCCCCTTTTCCGACTAAACTAAACATCCAGCTGATAGGGAGGCTTGAGCTTATCGATAGGCCATTTCAAGCTTGCTACTGTACATTCAGTGAGGCCCCTTCAATGGCGAAGCAATTGCATCATCTATTGTATAAATTTCCAAAGCCCAGCTTAACCTCCGTTCCGGCAGCGCTATTTTTGTTCCATACCACACGCTGTTAGTTTATATATAATTGGCCCTATATATATGCAATAGTATAATGTTTACCACATCGATCGAGTCACTGCTGTAGTGTCATGGATATTACATCAGATTAAAAATCCGCTGGTGCGAGTTCGATTCCCATTGGATGCTTTTTGTTGTTTTGAGGGTTTTTTCTCAAGGGAGAAATAAAGTCCGAGAACCTGACTTGCAACTCAACGTATACTTCGAAATACGCCCATATGCATGTGGCACAGAAAAAAAGAAGTACGGGAAAAAATAGCGCGTTCCGGTGTAGCATAAATTAAGGTTTAATGAAATACGGACTCATTGGTGATTTTGCGTATGTACATACGAGAGGGAGCGGTCACGTGAGAGGGTTTAACCAATAAAAGGGAAAAGGAGTCCGATTTTCATACGAGTCCGATTTTCATGTGACACCGGCTCCGGCACCATTGCCAAACTGCATGAACGAAGAAAAAAAGGAAACAAAGCCAGTGTTTGGAAAACGGCGTCATCAACTACCCTATGACGGATTTACTGCACAACAGTCCGGCACAGTTTAAAAGGCGTGGCCTCCGTGAGTGCACAAAGATAGCGTGCTCGGATTGGTCTATATTGAGCTATATCACCAATTAGGTTTTTTTGGGCCGGGGGGGGGGGGGGGGAGCGCAGCGCGGGCAACTTCCCCCCCCCCGGCAGATTTGTTAAATACAAATTTCATTTTTTTTATTAACTATTTTCATAAATGGTAGAGAGGTCTGACATGAACGACAGATAAAGAAAACAAAACCAAAATACACTAAAGGCTTTTGATTTTGCCCCTCCCCTCAACCGACATCAATAGCTGGATACGCTGCTGATGAGAATAGGGCATTTGCTGTTTTTCTTTGAAACATTATGATGTCCACATTACGAATGGTTCATGTTTTCCATAAACTATTTCAACAGCAACCAACACTCACAATCGACTAAAGAATTCTTTTACCCACGTGCGCTTTTCGCTAAGACTCTATGGCGTAAGAAATCGTGTGTGCTACTGGTTACTGTGCTCATATTTGGTTCAGAAAAATTTAATTGGCCAAGGTCGAAAATTGGGACTGTCGTTTGGAAGACAAGATAGGACCCATCATTTCCTTCTCGTAATGTTTACAATCTTTTCTTGTCAAATTCATTTGAAATGATGGATTGAAGTGTTACCGTTTTCGTTCCACACCGCACTAGAAATACGTGGACATCAAACCTAGCTGGGTAAAAATTGTTTACTTGATGCAGTTTTCGATTTTAGGCAAGTAATTCGTAACTGAATGGTTGGATTCTCCGCACGTCCGCAGGTTCTTATTCTGACATACTCATTGATAAATAGATCACCAGGATCATATAATTATAAGGTGTTACGTATGAATAATGGTGAAGGAAGTCAAAATGAATTACAGGAGCTCATTGTGGATTTAGAACGCCCGTGTGGGCGTTCTTGTACGATGATGGTTTCCTTGTACGATGCATTCACTGAGGCTATAAATGCAACAATCCTTTCAAATGATGCCATGGTGCTGAAATCTGTTGATGACCTTGGACTAACTTTGTTGCGTGCAATTTATTTATTGTTTACAATAACAATAATTGCACGTTGATAGAAACCAAAATCATGAGTTAGCATTTCCAAAAATGGTATATTCGATGTTTGCTCAACACCTGAATATAATGACAAACAACAACCGTTATTGAGGAATATTCTGTAAATTATGTTGGTTTCGTCTTTCGTTAGTCAATGCACAATTAATATTTGGGAAAATTATAACAAAGAGAAAAACTAAGATGGTGTGTATAAGGGATTTCTCGTGAATGTGTAACCGGTATTCGCGTTTGGGAATTGGTGCACAAAACGCCCAGACAAGGATTTTTTTAATCCCAAAACTCAATAT